GGGGGGGGGGGGCAGCTCAGTTTTGCTTAAGGTGAGTTTGAGGTGTCCGGGGCTATTCAGGTGGCCGCAGTTAGCAGGGTGAGTGGGGTCAGGGCTGGAGACGCAGATCCCGGCCTGCACGGCAAAGGCTGAAGCAACCCATAGGTAAGGGCGATAATGCCTGGAGAGCATTACATTCTCCTTGAGATGGTAATAAAGATGGGGCCCTGGGGCTGGCAGAGGATGAGGGGTTGAGGAAGGCAGCTGCTAAGGCTGCAGAGATCAGTCAGTGAGGTCCAGGAGAGTGGCCTGTGGACCCAGAGAGCTGTCCAGGCCATGTTCACCTCCTTCCCTCTATCTTCCTACCAGTGTTTCCTGGGTGCCTACTCAGAGCAGGCCAAGGTAAGGTCCTGGTGCAAGGATACAGTGGTGTAGGACCATTGTCCCTGCCCTTTTAGGGGAGTCAGACCCCAAACTATCATACATATAAATAAACCAGATAGTTTCCCATGTTGGTGACTGCTGTGAAAGAAACAGGGTGATGTGGTGAAGAGATTAACAGAGGCAGGGCTGGGTCTGGCTATTTTTTTTTAAATATATCTTTATTGATTTCAGAGAGGGGAAAGGAAAGGGAGAGAAAGATAGAAACATCAGTGATGAGCGTCGTTGATGGGCTGCCTCCTGCACGCCCCCTACTGGGGATCAAGGACATACCCTGGGCATGGGCCCTGACTTGGAATCGAACCAGACCTTCCGGTTCACGGGTTAATGCTCAACCACTGAACCACACCAGCCGGGCAGGTCTGGCTATTTTAAACTGGGTGGCCTGTGAAGGCCTCTCAGATGAGTTGAGACCTGACTGACAGAAGATGCCAGTTAGGGCAGAGTGTTCCGAGAGGAGAGAAGAACAGTACAAAGCCCTGCAGGGACAAGGAACTTGGTTCTCAGCAGGAACGGAAAGGCGGCCAGAGTGGGCGGAGTCCTGTGACTTGGAGGAGTGTGTGCGATTAGGTTGGCGAGATAGACCGGGTGGCTGCGGAGGACCTGGGAAACCACTTGAGGTCCTGTTCTATCATTTTATTATTTAGCTTCTTTGCAATTTCCTATTATCCTAGCTCTAGATTTCTTTTGTAACAGCTTTATTGAGATAAAACTGTTCTCACCTTACAATTCACCTGTTTAAAGTGTACAGTTAAATGGTTTTTGGTATATTTACACAGTTCTGCAGCAATCACTACAGTAATTTTAGAACATTTTCATCCCCTCAAAAAGAAAGCCCTTTTGCCATATCCCCCATTTCTCTGATCCCCCCCACCCTCGCCAGCTCTAAGCACCACTAACCTCCTTTCTGCCTCTCTATATTTGTTTATTCAGACATTTCCTAGAAATCATATACTGTGTTGTCCTTTATGACTGAAAGCACTTAGCATTAATGTTTTCACAGTTCGTGACATTTCTTTTTAAGGCTGAATAATATCCCATAGTATGGATATATGATAACTTTCCTTATCTATTCATCAGTTGATGGCTATATGGGCACCATATTTTAAATTTTAATAATAATCCAAGAAATGTGTGAGTCAAATAATGTATGTGTACATTCTCAGAGTAAAAGAGGCAGACACTGTCAACAAAAAGTATAAAAGCCCTCGCGCTTTTCCTTTGGTCCTACGCCTCCCCAGAAGTGCTGGTGGCACCTTGTTGTGAATGGCTCTGGTCACATGTGTTGGATTTCTTCCCATGACTTCCCATTCCACCACAGGCTCCATAGGCCATGGGTCCTTCCTTGTCCTGGGCCATCTATATACCTTCTGGGTGAGGTGGGCCCTCAGGGCTATAAACTCAAAGGGTGTCTGGGGAATGTGTGAAAGCCCTGTGAAGGGACTTTCCCCTGTCTTTGAACATCCACGTTCAGGTGTGGACGGGACGGTGAGTGGCTGGGAGGAGGCCAGAATCAACAGCTCCAACCCACTGCGCTATGACCGCGAGAGCGGGGGATTTATAGTCACCCGGGCTGGGCTCTACTACCTGTACTGTCAGGTAAGCCCCACCTGGCTCCGTGCTAGAGCAGGAGCTGAGGAAGAGGGGTTTGGTTTAGAGGGTGGGGGCACGCGAAAGGTGGGCTGGGGCAGCTTGGGGTTTGGGCTGCAGAGGATACCTGGGTCTCTGAGGAAATGTGGAATTGAGCCGAGGGGAGGCAGGAGCCTGGACTCCACCACCCTCCCCCCGCCCCCAGGTGCACTTTGATGAGGGAAAGGCTGTCTACCTGAAGCTGGACTTGCTAGTGAATGACACGCTGGCCCTGCGATGCCTGGAAGAGTTCTCTGCCACCGCTGCGAGTTCCCTGGGGTCCCAGCTCCGGCTCTGCCAGGTGTCTGGGCTCTTGCCCCTGCGGTCAGGGTCCTCCCTACGGATCCGCACCCTCCCCTGGGCCCATCTCAAGGCTGCCCCTTTCCTTACCTACTTTGGACTCTTCCAAGTTCACTGAGGGGCCCCGATCTCACGGTGGTTTTCCCAGGCTGCTGGCTCCCCACAACAACTCTCTGAGCACCCCAGTCCCCTCTGCCCCACCCTAAGCTGCTCCTCCCCTCAGACCTGCCTCTCCCTGGGTAGGCTGCCAGGCCTTGTTCACGTGTTTTCCATGCAACATAAATATTCCCATTCATCTCTGGCAAGCCCTCCCCCCCTCTGGTTCTCCACCTCACTAACTCCTGAACCTTCGATCTTTGACACCCCCATTTATCTTCCGACTCCCTACCCTGGCCACAACCCCCTGGGGCACTGTGTTTACTATACTCTGGGTGAGGATGGGTCCCCAATACCCCTCTCAGGCACTAAGAGGGGCTGGATACCAGAGAGACTGGGACTGGGCCAGGAGTTCCCGAATGTGAGGGCTAAGAGACCAAGACAGGCTCCTCCCCTGATAATTCCCTGTGGATTTTTAAAACAGATATTATTTTTATTATTATTGTGACAAAATGTTGATAAGTGGAAATTAAAAAGAATAAGTCATGGTTTCTCTTTTTATTGGGGTTTAGGGGACCTCCTCAGGGCAGCTGACAGCCCTGAGAAGGGGGTCTGGGCATTGGGGAGTGAGGTGCAGGACACCTGGAATTCCAGGGCGACATACAGACTTGTGAGTAGGGACCCACATGCCTCCGGCCCCCTAGGTGTGAGTAGAGAGTAGAAAGGCAAACTGCTAGGAAACAAAACTAATCCTCTGCCCAAGGTACAGCGAAAGAGGCCTCATTTACCTAGAAGGCGGGCTTCCTCCTGCGGGGAATCCCTGGCTGGGAGGAACAGGGGCCCTTCCTGTTGGCAGCCTTGGGACATTCAGCAGGTGCTGGCACAAAGCCCTGGCTGGGATGTGGGGTGGGAGCAGGCCTCAAGGAGGTTTCAGGGTCAGTAAGCAGGACACTGGGGCCTGGGAACACGGAACCTCGACCCTAGGATCCAGGGAAGGAATCCTACAATGGTAGGGTGCTTGGGGCTGTCTCTTTCTCTCTTCATCCAGAGCCTTATGTAAGAGCTTTTCTCGGGAAACAGGAAGTCCTGTTTGCCAAGTTCAGCACAGGGAGTAGTGGAGGCCTTATTCCAACACACCCGGCCTGGCCTGAACCCCAGAACGCAGCCAGTTTCTTGCTTCAGAGACCCTGGTTCTCCCCACTGCCCTGTCCTCTCCTTTCTTACCTTTAGTCATTCCTAGCAAACTTGCCCAGAGATCTCTCTCGGGCCTGAGCCAGAGGGTCTTCCACCCTCATCCCTTGACCCTCAATGCTGCCCAGCTTGTCCCTTCATCACTGCTTCTGGCACTATGCCCCAGAGCCAGCCAACCTTCCCTCCCCCACTTCTGGGGCCGCCCCAGGGTTCCTGTGCTTTGGCCGCTCCTCCTGGGTGTCACTGGCAGCCCCGTGCTTCCTAGAGAGACTGGCCCCAAATTCTCCTGAGGCTGGAGGAGGGTGGGGGTCTCAAGACAACACTGGCCCCACAGCAGGGTGCCAGGAGCACCAACAGTGCCCCTAGCTTGCTTTCCTCCTCCCTCCTTTTTATTCTCAAGTTCCTTTTTATTTCTCCCTTGCGTAACGCCCTTCCTCCCTTCTGCACCCCCACCCGCCCTGCCACCTCCTTGCCACCCACTCCTAAAGCCACAGCTGTTGGCAGGGTCCCCAGCTCATGCCAGCCTCATCTTCCTTTCTGGCCCCTAAAGGGTCCCCGGGAGACATGGGGGGCCGGGGCCGAGAGCCGGCACTCTCAGTTGCTCTCTGGTTGAGTTGGGGGGCGGTTTTGGGGGCTGTGGCTTGTGCCATGGCTCTGCTGATCCAACAAACAGAGCTGCAAATCCTAAGAAGAGAGGTGACTCGGCTGCAGAGGACTGGAGGGCCCTCTGAAAAGGGGGAAGGGTATCCATGGCTGAGCCTCCAGGAGCAGGTGAGTGAGGGGAGAAGGGTGTTGGGAGAGAAGGATCAGTGGCAGGGTCATTTCTGGCACTCTTGGTTCCAGCCTCCTGGTCTGCAATGTTTCTAGTGGGTGCAAGAGAGGGTCCCAGGTTTGGAGGTCAAGGGAACAGCCATTCCAGTAAAGGAAACTGTTAAAGATTAATGCTTCTTGTACCTACCAATCCTGGAGGACAGCCAGCACCAAGACTCAGGTTGCTGGGGAAAGGTGCATGAGAGATGCGAGGCATTCCTGTGGCGGGAGCAGGGCTGGGAAGAAAGGCTGTCTGGGACCCTTGCATCTTAGCCTAACCCTGACTCTCTTTCTAGGAGCAGAGCCCTGATAGCCTGGAAGCCCTGGAGAATGGGGAGAGATCCCGGAGAAGGAGAGCAGTGCTCACCCATAAACAGAAGAGTGAGGCCTTCAGGGTGCAGAGGGGTGGGAGGTATCAAGCAGCATGAAGACGTGGAGATTGTTACCCCCAAATCAGAGTGAGGGTGAAAGGCTGACAACAGGGCAAGTGGGGTAGGTGGCCATTGCTGAGATTTCCTCCTTCTTTCCTCAGAGAGACACTCGGTTCTGCACCTTGTTCCCATTAACATTACCTCCAAGGGTGAGCACTATTTTAAATGGCTTTTGGGGAAAGGCAAGACCTGGGAACTTTGGGGCTGGCACCCAGGCCCAAGAAAACCTTAAAGGTGAAAAGTAAGAATGCACAGAAATCCTGACTGCCACACTCCTCACCTCCAGAGGACTCTGATGTGACAGAGGTGATGTGGCAACCAGCTCTTAAGCGTGGGAGAGGTCTGGAGGCCCAAGGATATGTTGTCCGAGTCTGGGATGCTGGAATTTATCTGCTGTACAGCCAGGTAACCACAAACAAACATTGAGCCTCACAAGGGGGCCTGGAGGCCTATTCTTCCAGAGCTTTATGCCCAGTACTGAGGGTTCTCAAACCTCTGTTCATACCAAACTTAGAAGACCCTCCTCCTTCATTCCTTGTCACGGCTCCTGAGGCCTCCCCAGACTGAGCTATACCATCCTGTTTTCTTCACAATCTCCTCCCTTCCCTGCCAGGTCCTGTTTCATGATGTGACTTTCACCATGGGTCAGGTGGTATATCGGGAGGGCCAGGGAAAGCAGGAGACTCTATTCCGATGTATACGAAGTATGCCCTCCAACCCAGACTGGGCCTACAATAGCTGCTACAGTGCAGGTAACAGCTCTGTGGGCAGTGGGGGGATGGATGTGAGAAGAGCAGGACATATCAGACCTGGGGGTAGTGGTGGGAGAGCTATGACAGGGGATTGGAAGCCTGTACGTAGAGGTGGATCTAAGGAACCAAGAAGAGAGAATACCTACATCCTTACAGGAAGTAGAAAAAGGTTGACCTGGGGGAGGGTAAAACATCAGAGTATCTGTAAGGCTGTGCTTCACCGAGCATCTATTTCCTCTCTTTTTTCAGGTGTCTTCCATTTACACCAAGGAGATATTCTGAGTGTCATAGTCCCCAGAGCAAGTGCGAAACTTAGCCTCTCTCCACATGGAACCTTCCTGGGGTTTGTGAAACTGTGACTGTGTTATAAAAGGTGGTCTGGGCTTGGAAGACCAGAGCAGGTACATATGGGAGACAGCCAAAAGCTGACTAGACAAAGGACAGGGAATGGGAAGGAACAGAGGCCTCTTCTGGGTTTAACTGGAACCCTCAGCTTGATAATTCATGACTCTGTTCCTCCTTTTTCCCTTTCCCCCCCAACCTCTAGACTTTGATTTCATGAATATTAAGGAGGTAGAATATCATATCTTGCTTTTATCTCCCATCTAGCCCCAAATTCTTGGGGAAGTGGAGGGGTAAAGAGAAAATGCCAGGCATTGTCTAGACCTGCTTTTGGTCCCACTGGAATGCTTCCAGAACAGCACCACCATCTAGCGGCAGTTTGAGAGAATCATCCTGTTGGCAGAAGTCCACAAAGCCTTACTACACTCAGGAAAACTGGTTCCCTATGCCACACGTCCCTCGAGGTATCCTGTCTCTTCACCCCACAGGAAGCTTCCTCCTCACTTCCCTTGATCTATTGTGCCTTAGTTTCGATCACTAGAGTATTTATTATGGGACCGTATGCAGGGGACGCCCGACGATGCCGGTCCCCTTGCAGCCACATTACTCTTTGGGTCCCTAGTTTTGCCTTTCGTGCTCCGCATTCCCCTGGCGTGGCAGGCCATTCCAAGCCCCTCTGGGCTGAGACGGGTCGCCCGGGAGCCTTGGATGAATGTATGTCCTGATACTGGTCTTGCCTCACTCCTGAGCTCTTTTTTGCTGCTCAAGCCCTGCTTAAAGTTAAATAAAAGAGAGTAAATGATACCTCGGATCCATTTCCCCCACTGCCTTGCTTCGTCCCCCTACCCGGGAACTCCTGCCCTCCAGGAACTCCCAGGCGCACCCCACTACACCAAAAGTACCCGGCCCCTGTGCTCGGGACTGACAGAAGGACCACGCAACCCAGCAGCACGCGACGCGCAGGCGCAAAAGGCCGAGCGGTGGGGTCAAGCGCAGCCCCGGTCGGCGGGTGCGCGTAGGCGCAGCCCTGCGTAGGGCTCGGGGGCGGAACGATCCCGTAGCGTCTACGTTCGTGGGTAGGCGGGCCTAGGCGTGTAGTGGCCGCGCCGGCGCCGTTCGCGCAAGTGTGACGTAGAAATCGTGCGCCGCCACCGCCAGTGGGCCTGGGGCTCGCGGGAGGGGAAACGGGAGGAGGAGGGGGAGGTGGTGGAGGTGGAAGCCTGAGCAGAGCAAGAGGCGGCCGCGGCGGGGCGGCTCAGCGGCGCGGCGCGCGGCCCAGAAGCGTTGGAATCCTGAATTGAGGCGGCTACGCCTTTGAAGACAGCAGGAGTGGCGGGG